CCCCCCCCCCCCCCCCCCGGTATCTAAAGGCTTGCTACAGCCCCGGCTTATGCATTACAAATTCCGTTTTTGGCGTGCGTTGCTTAAATAAAGTAAGCATTGCCTTACAATTCCTTTTTTCAATCAAAAACATTCCTATACCATAAATAAAGAACATTACGTCAGACCCCACATAGACTAGACAACTCCAGTCTTAACTTGTCCATTTCACTCTTGTATTTTTGTTGGTTTCGGCGCCAACAACTGTATGTCATGCAAAACCATTTTATTAGAGGTAGCACCATTTGTTTCGTCGTACCTCCACTTCAGTCTCGATTAAATCATTCGACATTACTCTGAAACATTTGCGTATGCCTTAGAAAGCGGGTTACCCTAACACTCGCATATTTTTTCTTTTTTCTCACAACGTGTTTACAAGGCAGGTAGGGTTACCCTAGCGCTAGGGTAACCCTACCTGAGTGCTAGGGTACTTACCCTATCAAGAGGGTTACCCTACCTGACTTGTAAACGCTCAGCTAGGGATAACTCGCCTAACCGGGTCAACTTTTTGCCGTCATACATGACCTGTAATCGTGCCAATTTGAACGGTATTATCCAATATAAACATCTAAGTGAAAAATGACAAGTTATGTTCTGTCTACGCTGATAATATTTTCCCTTTTTTCGCGAAATTAACGTGTTTTCCGTAGAAAACTGTAGAAAATTGCAAAAATCTCACTCATTCTAGTTGTAGCTGGGGAAATCCCGAGCCAGGAATAGAGAATAGAGGGGACGAACCTTAGACAAGTTTTTTCAATTACATTGGAACTTCTTGCCTGTCAAATTATTATTCATTCAAATTTCAAATTTATTGCAGTCGCAAAACAATGACCAATTTATAAAATTCTTTGTCCCCTCGAAAAGTAAACTATTTTTTTTAATCCGCGGGCGCGGTCACGAAGATTTGAAGTTGCCAGGTTGATGCAATTAGTAGGCGAGGAATTGAACTGTTAGAAAGTTCTTTTGCTTTTATATTCCTTTTGTTCCCTACAAAAGTAACAGGGAGTCTGTGACGAGTGCCAAGCTTGCATTGTTGTATTTATTATTAAGATTAGGGTTACGTGAGGTGTCAACGCGAATATTTAATAAGCAGGATATTTAAGTTACTTCTTGTCTTATTAAAGAGAGCTTATTTCCCTCGTATCGCTGTCTCTCACAAGTGTTTCATGGTGTCAGGAATATGGTAGCGAACCTACGTGTTTTACTTTTTACTTGCGATGCCGGGAGGCGAAGGGGCCGGTGCATTGCCGAATTCGTCTGCAGGTACGTCGAATGTTAGAGGTGCTTTGTTTGCTTTACCGCCGCCTCCACCGCTTGATATTCACGTTTCGAACGCAGCAGAAAAGTGGAAAGAGTTTGAGCAAGCTTGGAAGAATTACTCGATTGCCATGAAGTTGCACCAGGAACCCGAAGCCGTTCAAGTTGCAACATTGCTTATCGTAGTCGGAGCTGAAGCGCGGAAAGTTTTCGCTACGTTTACGGATTGGGCGAGCTACACCGACCAAAACAAGATTCAGCCTGTGTTACAAAAGTTTGCAGCGTACTGTCAGCCACTTAAAAATGTGCCTTTTGAAAGATGTAAATTTTATTCTAGAACGCAAGAATCGGAAGAGTCTTACGATCACTATCGGACAGCTCTTCAACAGTTAGCGGAAAGGTGCGAGTTCGAATCGATTACCCCCAATCAGATTTTACGTGACAAGCTCGTGTTTGGAATTCGCGATTCAAAGGTTCGTGAGAGGCTTCTTCGTAAGAAGAATTTGTCGTTGGAGAAAACTGATGAGATTTGTCGTTCTCACGAGACCATGGTACAGCAGATGAGGGTTGTCGGCGATGCCGGTTTAAGCGTTGCAGATGCCGGAAACGTGAATGCTGTGTCTAAAAAGCCTAAAAGAGGGAAACGTAGGCGCGGTCGTGGCTTGAGAAATGCTAACACGCGGGGAAATAGTTGTGAATTTTGCGGACGTGAGCATGACTTAGGGAAGAGTGAGAACTGTCCAGCTTTTGGAAGGAGCTGCAATAAGTGTGGCCAGAACTGAGAAAAATCATTTCGCGAACGTATGTTTTGGACGCGCGCCTAAGCCCACGACTCGCACGCATCCTGTGTATTGTCTCGAAGATGTGCTTTCGGACGAAGTTTTTGGAGTGGAAGAAATTTCGGTTGTAACGTTGGATGATTCTCAACTGGTAACGCTGAAGTTGGAATCTGGAAATTATCTTCGTTTTCAGCCCGATACCGGAGCTCAGTGCAATTTTGTCCCTTTGCATCTATAAAAGAAAGCCACTAAGGATGCTGATTTGTGCAATGTGACCCCTGTCAATACGGCGATCATTTCGTATGGTGGTACCTCAATTCCTATCCTCGGGAAAGTTCGTTTGCGTGTATGGCGTGGAGATTTCAGATACCTGCTTGACTGCAATTTGGTTGACAGCAAGAAAGTCAGACCTATTCTTGGCAGGAAAGCGTGCCTAGGAATGAACATTACCCAGTATCTAGACAACGACCAGTTAAACCGACCGCAGGAGTCTGATGGTAAAGTTTATACACATGATGTTCCGGCCCGTTCCCCAGTCTCCGCTGACCAGCTGATTAAGAGCTTTCCTCGTGTCTTCCCTGATGGCGTGGGTGCACTTGCGGGAGAATATCACATGGTGCAGGATGAGTCGGCTAGGCCAGTTCAACATCCTCCTCGCAGAGTTGCGATCCGCGAACAGTTGCGATCCGCGAACGTCTTAGAGAGGCCCTGGAAGATTTAGAGAAGCGTGAAATTATTGCTCGAGTGACAACGCCCACCCCTTGGATCAGCTCGATGGTTGTCGTACCAAAGAAGAACGGCAAACTACGCATATGTTTGGATCCGATGGGTCTTAATCGTGCTTTGCAGCGGGAAAACTATCCTATACCTACGATTGAAGAAGTAGCTTCCCGTCTTCTCGGAGCTAAAGTTTTCCCGTTGCTTGATGTCTCCAACGGGTTCTGGCACTTTGTTCTTGATAAGGAGTCTTCGTTTTGCACTACGTTTAATACACCGTTTGGGAGACACCGCTGGAAAAGGATGCCGTTTGGGATCAGATCTACACCTGAAGTGTTTCAGCGTAAAATGCATGAGTTGATTGAAGGGTTGAGGGGTGTTGAGGTCATCGCGGATGATTTTGTTGTTGTCGGTTATGGTGAATCTTGGAAGTCTGCAACTAAGGACCATGAAATGAATCTTCTATCGTTTCTTCAGAGATATGATGAACGCGGAGTTCATTTGAACAGTGACAAGTTGCAGCTTAGAATGAAAGAAGTCCCTCTTATTGGTCATGTGGCCACCGGTGAAGGTCTTCGCGCAGATCCATCTAAAGTTCGGGCAATTCGCGAGATGCCCCCGCCGGAAAATGTAGCTGGCGTATAGCGAATCCTTGGTATGTCTCAGTACCTTAGTAAGTTTCTGCCGCGTTTGTCTGATATTACAAAGCCACTGAGAGACCTCACCCGCCAAGATGCTCAGTGGATCTGGGACGAGCCGCAACAGAGTGCGTTTGAGCGCCTCAAGCAAGCAGTTTCCGCTACACCTGTGCTTCGTTATTACAATCTGAAAGAAGATATTACCATTCAATGTGACGCATCTCAGCGTGGCACTGGTGCGGCGTTACTACAAGGTGGGCAGCCTGTGGCATGTGCGTCGCGCGCGTTGACTGACACGGAAGTAAATTACGCCCAGATAGAGAAGGAGTTGTTGGCGATTGTCTTCGCGTTTGAGAAGTTTGATGCGTATATTTATGGCCGTGATTGTGTTCGGGTGCAGACAGATCGCAAGCCCCTCGAGTCCATTTTCCGGAAAGAACTTTGTACAGCCCCTAAGCGTCTACAGAGGATGCTGCTCAGGCTGCAAAAGTACAGTCTGGATGTCACTTACCTGAAAGGAAAGAAGATGTTGGTTGCGGACACTTTAAGCCGTGTCTATTTGCCTGAAGTCAATTCCTGTATTTTTGCTCGGGAGCTGGAAGAGGTTGACCACAGAGCTAACTTACCTGTAAGTGACGAGCGTTGGCAACAGTTAACCCATGTTTCGGCTGATGATCCAGTTCTGAAGCAGTTGCCCACTGTTATTCAATGTGGTTGGCCTGAGAGAAAGTCCGACGTTCCTATGTCTCTTCGACCCTATTTTGATCTGCGTGATGAGCTGGTTGTTCAAGGTAACTTAATTTTCAACGGCCCGCGTTTGGTTGTTCCAGCTTGTATGCGCAAGGAACTAAAGTCCGTGGCTCATGCGACCCATATTGGTATCGAAGGTTGTTTGCGGCGGGTTCGAGAATGCCTTTTTTGGCCTATGATGGCGTCCGATTTCAAAGATTATGTTTCCAAGTGTGACGTCTGTTTGGCTCATCGTACGTCCCAAACTAAGGAACCGCTCCTTCAATACGAAGTAGTTGCAAGACCATGGGCCAAGTTAGCCGCTGACCTGTGTGAACTGCATGGGCGTACCCTTTTGGTTGTTTCTGATTACTTTAGTAACTACATCGAAGTTGAAAATATTTGAAGTTCAGGATAGATATGCTGACCTAAACACGATAATCTCCGATTTTAAAAAATATTAGCCCCCGCTTATCTAAATAGCTGCCTCGATTTTCTTATCTCAATTTCTCTCGTGACTGACCTTTTTATTATAAATATGGTACTTTTTCACTTCAACTATTCGTAATAAATCTTAAGCCGTCTACACACCACCTGCCTCGATTAGCCTTGCTATTTGCAGGTGGTGTGATATTTGTATATTTAATGTAAGAAATAAAGATGTTGTTGTTGTTGTTGTTGTTGGCGCGTCTTTGCTCTACCACAACGCAAGCTGTTGTTCGCGAGTTGAAGACTATGTTTGCGCGTTTTGGGATTTTCCTGAGATCTTGGTGACAGATAATGGGCCGCAGTTCTCTTCTAATGAGTTTCAAGTGTTCGCAAAGAGTTGGTCTTTCAATCATGTCACTACATCGCCTTGCTACCCTCAGTAAAATGGCAAGGCTGAGAACGCTGTGCGGACAGTGAAACGTCTGTTTGAGAAATGCAAAGAAACCGGTGTGTCAGAATTTCAAGCTTTACTTGACTGGCAAAAAACACCTTCTGAGGGAATGGATACCAGTCCTGCGCAGCGCCTGATGGGTCGTCGATGTCGTACACTTCTGCCAATGTCGGAGTCTCTTTTAAGACCAAGTTATCCACCACGTGGTGATGTGCGTGCGTTGGCCAGAAGGAAATGGCGCCAAAAGAATTATTACGATCGGCATGTGAAGCCTTTAAAGCCCTTTAACCTTGGCGAGTCTGTGCGTGTGAGGCTTCCTGGTGAGAAAGTTTGGTCACCTGCCGAGTGAGTGGGTTTTGCTGGTCCGCGCAGTTACCTGGTAAAGACTGGTGATGCTGTTTACCGTCGTAACCGCTGTGACCTGCTGAGCACAGAGCACTGGAGAACCACCTGTTACTGATCAGTTTGATTCGCCTGTTACCCCTCAGTACAGTCGCAGTAACTTAGAATCCCCTGGAGCAAATTTGCCTCCGCCTGATGTACCATAGTCAAGTGTGCCCTCTGTTCCTGAGTCAGTGCCAACATTCGTCGAACAAGGTCGACAGGAAACTCCATCTCCTGTGCCCTCTTCTGTGCCGCCAACTAATCTTAGACGATCGCAGAGAGAAAGAAGGCCCCCGAAAAAATTTCAAGACTTTTTTCTAAACTAACGCTGAACTCTGAGTTTTGTAGTGTTTTGGTATACAAGTTAGGGATAAATCGAGCCGTTTGTTTATGTTTTCTATTCGTGTTATTCTCTTTTGTAAGAGGGAAGGTGTGACGAGTGCCAAGCGGGCATTGTTGTATTTATTATTAAGATTAGGGTTACGTAATGTGTCAACGCGAATATTTAATAAGCAGGATATTTAAGTTACTTCTCGTCTTATTAACGAGAGCTTATTTCCCTCGTATCGCTCTCTCTCATAAGTGTTTCAGAGTCGTGCTTTAATGGAAGCCAGGCCAGGGGAAATCCGCGGCCCCCGGCCCTTAGTGACAGCCCTGAATCTGTGTAGCAGTGGTAATAATAGTTAACAGAGAGCTTTTGAAGTTGCATAAGGGCCGATTTAGACGCTAAAATATTTGCTTATGACTATTGCACGTGACTTTGTTTAAGATATGACTTTCGACCATCCACACACACACTTTGACTTACGACATTCTGAAATATCATATCGCAAGCAATGTTACAAAAATGGTCGACACAAGAATCACGTCGGCAATGGTTGTTGGTGCATTATTCAAGAGAAGGAGAAAGAGACGAAGGGAAAGAGAGGTTAGGGAGTAGCAATGGTTGCAAAAAAGATGGCTTAAAAGCACTTTATGGCTTCACAGTGACATCAGGTGTTCTGTTTTTTCTTCAGTTCAAGACGTCTTGGTGGCGGGAAACCACAGTGACTTCTCAGTCCTCCATTAACTTGTACAACCAGATCATGTAATTTCCAGTTCAAACATGAAGAGCAAAAATCACACAAGTGACTACAGCTGTACTTACGCCCTCCCCTGCTTGCATCAAAATTTGTCACTAAAACGTCATAAGACGCCATTTTTTATTGTTCATGGCTACGATTTCAATTAGCTTTCGTAAGAGTTTAATCCACTGGGGTCTTCGGTTTAGTCCAAGGGGGTTTCGGTTTAGTCCAGGGGGTCTTAGTTCTAGGTTTTTGGGTCTTCGTTTTAGAAACACCCCAAATTGTAAACATGCTCTTTGACCCATGCCAATAAGTTCCAAAGAGGCAGCTCCACAAGTGAGCCCTTGTTAGCCACTGCTATTTGAGATTTTATCACTGAATTTACACATGTCTTGAGTAGTGTCTAAAACACTGGAATTACAATGTAACTGGAAGGTACGGAATCACACTGGGCCTCACAAAGATACTATAAACAATTTATCTCCCTGACAAAAATGTAACATAGGAGTACGGACCCTACAAGATTTTTGGTACATTTTAAGTCTCGATTTTAAATGGCTGTAGAATTTGATTCTTAAAGAATCTCACGCA